ATCTAGTATAAATGGACAACACAACCCCTCACACAGTGCCAAAAGCCAAACTAAACCAGTGGGTTTTAAGACGAGTTTTAAAAACAGTTTGTGAAGAGGACTGTCTAAGTTGGAGAGGTAGCTCGATCCAAAGTTTAGGAGCTGCTGCAGCAAAAGATCAATTCCCCCATTTTAGAATATTATCCCTTACTGACAGCTCCTAAATGTGTTCAGCTCAGAGTACACCTTCTTTTGATTAAAATTAGAGTGTACTGTCTGTATTTTCTGCAATTGATAATCAATGGTGTTTGTAGTTATACAGGTTTAATAGCTTGTTTAGAAATTAGTGAACATGAAAATAAGCATTGATCTCAGATTTTCAGTCACTCAATCTGAATGGTGATCTATGGCTTACACTCAACCAAAATAATCTCTGTTTGAGAAACTGTTCACACCGAAACCAAACTGGGGGAAAGGAAGCGTCACATTTTATTTCGACCTTTACCCCTGGCGGTCTCTGTATCATAGTGAAAGGAGGAGAAACGTTGGCTGCATCTGAGTATCCTACGCGGCTGATGGTATCCCAGAATTCATTGCGCTGTCAGCAAATTAAACAGGAAAACAAAGACAGCAAAGTTTTTTGTTTTTAATGATAAAGTTTGGAATTATATTACAGATGGAAAAATGTAAGTTAGCTGAAGAAACTTTTATTGCAATGAGATGTTAAATAGTTACAAGTATTGATACAGGAGCTAAACCCAAATTACTCATGCTTTTTATTTATTTCCTTGTACCGTTTTTCAATTAAAACTTTAGTTTATGAAGTTATACCTTGAAAAAAATCACTGAACCGCTGTGATATAAAACATGTCACTATGGTAACAACGCAGAGCGTGTTCACACAAACATACATCTTCTGTAGGGTAGACCGTCCTATTTTACAGCCCTTTATGAAGCCAACATTAGCAACCTACGGCCCACATTGACTGCAGCCAACGCCGGCTCCAACCCAATTGAGACACAGTCTTCGTTGCTCTGACTAACCCCCACTCCCCCATCTTTCTCATTCCCCTTTGTGGCTGCAGCAGCTGTGTGTGTGTGGGTGTGTCAGAAACACAGGGGAAGGTCAGAGGTTATTTGAAGATTAAGAATGTGTTAAAGTTACACTCATTCATGTCTGATCACATTTGTGTAGTTGATTTGAATTCCTGACCTTCTGATGTGTATTTGGCATAAGATAAAGTGCTGAAGTCGTTACTCTTGGACTTCCTGTTTGGTCTTTGTTTTGCCTGAAGGATTTCCAGGGCGGCGTAACACACATCTTCAGCCTGCATTTAAACATTTTGAAAAACATTTTTTAATCAAGTTTTTTTGGTTTTGTAGACAAACAGCAGCAGGCATCTGCTACAACAGGGGTGGGCAATCCTGGTCCTCGAGGGCCGCAGCCCAGCAGGTTTTATGATTTTCCCTGCTCCAACACACCTGATTCAGACATTGAATTACCAAGTACTGCAGAATGGAGGACTGACACTGACATAACTAGAAAAAAAAGTAGAAACATGTAAATGGACCAATAAATAAATTCAATTAAAATGTGCCAATTAAATTTAAAAAGGAGACCTTAACCTCATGTTTTATAATTTAACTGACCTTCATATTTATTTTTCCAACTTAGTTC